CCCACAGAACCAGTAGCCAAAAAATTTGAATCCCACCACTGGACCTAAAGCAGCCGAAGGACTGGGAGTTTCCTAAATGGAAAAGTCTTAAAGGTTCATCTTCACGTCCCTCTTTAAAGGCAGCATGAAGACGCCTCACTTCCCCTCATAACAGCGCAGCTCGTGAAGGCAGCTGACATTCCTCTTTAACTGCCCAGCTCAAAGGCAGCAGTTTATAATCTTGTGAGCTTAAGCAGTTTACAGAAATTAAAAATTCAATAATATAATTAATCTTCATGAAACCAGAAAAAGAATTTGTCCTTTTTTTAAAAATAGGCTGCCTCAAAGTGGTCGTGATTCTGGTATGGAATTGGGCCGTTTTGTGCCTCATCTTATTTTTCTTAACTCAGAATTTTTTATTTGATTAGAGAAGAGTCACAATGGAGCCAGAAAAATCTATGTGTGGTTGGCACTGAAAATCCTCTAAAAACCCTCCTGCTTTTGGAAATGGATTTTCCAGTCGAGATTGATCATGTGAGTTCAAGTCCCACCTTAGCCATTGAAAGCCTGCTGGGTGACCTCGGGTCTCTCTCTCTCTCTCTCTGAACCCCATCCTACCTGACAGGGTTGTTGTGGAGAAAATAGAAGAAGAAGTACATTTTTGCTGCCTTCAGTTATTTGGAAAAAATAATAAAGGCAGGAATAATAAAAGAAAACAATGAAATAATAAGTAAAATTACATAATAAAAATAAAATAAAATAATAATTTTTTGAAAAAATACAATAAAATAAAAATAATAATAATAAAAAAGTAAATAATAAATTAAATTAAATTAAACAATAAAGGAAAATAAATTGAAAAAATAAAATAAATTGAAATAAATAAATAAAATATTAAAAATAAAGAAAAATAAATTAAATAAAAATAAAAATAATCAAATAAAATAATAAAAATTTAAAAAATACAATAAAAATACAATAAAAAATAAAATAAAATCGGCCAACTCTTGTGATAGGATTCTGTTGCTTCCCTTAAATCACCTGAAGCCAGTTCTATGGACTGGTCCCTGCAGGCCCACCAACCTCAAACATTGGAAAAATTGATGGATTAAAGCTCAAGTATGCTCACATCTGGACACATCCTAAACAGACGTTTAGGAGTCTTTCTTTACTGAATGTCCTAGTTGGGATCATGGCTGACACTTTCCCACAATCCTCCAGCCAGAAAAACAGCTGAGCCTTCCCCTCCCTGCAGCCTCTCACCTTCCAGGTCCAGGTCCAGAGGCTCCTGCAGGCCGTTGTGGTCCACATGGCACCGATAGCGGCCTCTGTCTTTGGGGTCGATCCGGATGCTGAGCCAGTAGTGGTAGGTCCCATCCGCGTTGGGGGCCACAGACCCATGGAAAGTGTCCTGCAGCCAGATCTCCCCATCCCTCATGCAGAAGGCATCGATCTCCCTGGGGTAGAAGCCATCCAGGCGGCAGATGTGCGTCTCCATCCCATCCTCCACCTCTGTCTTGCCTCTCACCAGCGTTGCCTCTGGGGGCTCTGCAGAAACGGCACCGCCAGAATTAACTCTCAGCCCCTCCAGAGCTTGGAATGTGGGTGAGAAACTTGGAAGGGCATGAAACTCTCCCACTACTTCCTATTCCACACCTGCAGCGTCTCTAGGAATTTTAGGAAATGCTCCAAATCTGGATAATATTCAAGCACAATGATTCTTGGTTTTGAGTCCTTCCCAGGGACTCAGCCTGAAAAACCTCGGGCAGCAAATTGAGGGTTCAAGTAAATTCAGCTCTGATGGCTTTGAATTCTGACTGATCTTGGGCTGCTCCCTTCAGGGGAGGGAGGGTGGAGATGGTCTTTTGGAGGTTTCCTTTGTTGGAAGTTCAAACCCACCCCTCTCCTAGGAAAATGAAATATTTTAGGATATACTAAAAAGGCAGAATATTTCCCCTAAAAAGAAAACTAGAAACTCAGAGGCAGAAGGTCAGCCCCCCCCCCCTTGCTAATGGACCATTATTCTGGCCTGGGCCAGAGTACTCTACATAACAAAGGCCTCTACCCATCTCATCACATGGCCTGGGGAAAATTGCATCAGCCAGCACTCAGGTGAAGCCATGGGGTCCAAACAAAGCCTACAAAGTTAGCTAAACCCCCCCCTCCCAGGAGTCTAACAGCCAATGGGATACATTTCTTACACAGGAACAGGAAATACTAAGGTGGAGCCCAACAGAGGGTATAAAACTAAGGGTTTCTCAGCATCTTGGCCCTTCTTTTCCTTCACCCAACATCTTGAAGCATGTGATTGTCCTTTTCCCTTTGGAGCTCCAAGCCATGTGGTCCTGTCCACCATTAAACCATCTTTCCAAACACCCTCCATGTTTCCAGTGTCTTTTTCCCCACTTGGAACTGAACCCAGAAGGATATTTCTTCCAACACAGACAACCTCAGCTGTGACCCCTGTATAGCCCTATGAGAGTCTGACAGCAACCAATAGAATCCATGCCCTTGCCACAGGAATAGGAAGCTCAAGGGCAAGGCCCAAGAGAGGGTATAAATAACACTCTCCACTCCGTGTGTTCAGCTGCCCAGGACCTGAAACCCATGTGGTCCTGTTCACCATTAAACCATCTTTCCAAACAGCCTCCGTGTTTCCGGTGTCTTTCTTCCCCACTTGGAATTGAACCCAGAAGGATATTCCTTCCAACACCTTTTCAAAAATCGCAACAACACAGATAGTTCTCCCAAGTTTTGGGGCCCATTTCTCCAGGGTGCTCCAGGCCTCTTTCCAAGGGACACACCACCCCAATTTTAAGAGAAAGAAAGCCAAAAAATCAAAGCAAAAAGGGGCTCAGGATTTTTAAGAGTCTGATTAATTTCGAAAAAGATATTCTGCCTTCCCAATGGGGGCAGAAAGAGATGCCAATGGAAGAGAGGGCATCAGACCAGGGAGGTGTTATTGGCCATTGTGTGTGTGTGTGTGGTGGTGGTGGAATTCCCCTATAGAATTTACCAAACTTATTCTGGAGGGATCCAGGAGCCGAGAGGAGAAAGCGGGGGGCAGTGGAGGATGGATTATTTTCCGCCTTCAGTGGAAAATAAGAAACTCACAGGAAATAAATGGGAGAAATATAATTTGATCAGGAAGCCCTATGGGATGAAGGTGGGAGGGGGTTGTTTTCCTGGGGAAGTCATTAAAGTCAGAGTTAAGGGAGCTATTTGAGGTTTAAGAGAGCGACCCACAGGATCCTTGGGAGGGGAGTTTCCTCCCTCCATCTTGTCCTTTTTTATTCAAGTGGGGCAGGGGGGGATTCAAAAATCCCAGCAACCGGTTCGCTGCCCAGTTGCTGGGTGGGTGTGGCCATGGTGGGCGTGGCCTACTGGAACTTCCTGTTTCCGGCTTCTGGTGGGCCTCCAGAGTCCAGGGGAGGCCGTTTTTGTCCTCCCAAGGGTTCAGAGACTTCCCCCGGAAACAGCCTCCCCCGGGCTCTGGAGGCCCTCCGGAAACCGGAAACAGGCCCATTTCGCGACTTCCGTTTTTCCTGAAAGGCCCATTTTCCTCCCCCTCCCACAGCCTCTGCGTGGGCCCTGCACTTACCTACATCGCAAAATGGGCTGGGTAGGGGAGGAGTGGGCGGGGTCAGCCGGTTGGTTGAAATACCGGTTCGATGAACCAGATGTAACTTAATATCCAGTTCGCTCAAACCGGTCCGAACCAGTAGAATCCCAGCCCTGAAGTGAGGGCACTGATAATGTCTTATTGATGGTAGATGCCACCTAGTGGTGGGGTGTGGAAGGTGCAACATGAGACACAAGGAAGGGATAGAGCCCCCTGTGGGATGCGGAGGGAAAGAGAGTTGCTGGGAGGAAATGACTGTAAAACTGTGTTACAATAGCCTCTGTTTGGGATAATGGTGGATTCACTGAAGAATCCCCAATTGTCCCTGTTGCCTCATGGTGGGCTCTGAACAGGACACCCTTAAGTGCTTTTGCTGCCTGATTCACCCAAACCAGGGGGTCTTCAAACTTGCGCTTCATTGTTTGACTTCCTGGGCCCCAGGGAAGCTTCTTGGGAAAACACCCCCGCAGGAGGCTTCCTTGAGGCCTAGGAGCCCAAAAACAGGAGGGGCGTTGCTGCAAAAAAAGAAGCCACGCCCACCCAGTCCCATGGCCACATCCACCTAGTCACGTTCACAGAACTGGTTGTTAAAAAAAATTGAATCCCACCCCTGGCAAACACCCAACCAAAGAATCTCTAAGACCGCCCCAATGGTGGGATTCAATCAATGTAACAACCGGTTCGGTGAGAGCATGCTTTGTACGCAGCATTTTAAAAACAGCCATTTTCAGTTAATACTTACCTTCCACTGCAGCCCCAATGAGTAAAACAGCTGGGCTTCAAAACAAGGAAATAAAGGATCGACCAGGGCAGGGGCGGATGGGTGGGGCCAACTCATCACTGGAACTACCGGTTCACCTGAACTGGTCCGTACCAGCTGAATCCCAGCCCTGGACGGCCCCCACCTACACAGTTGAGCAAGTCATCAGAATATAAACTGATAGCAAACAGCACTCCTTACTAGCACTGTATCAGCTTTGGAAGCCATATTCCACGCTGCCACATAGCCTGGGAGAGTGGAAGGGCGGTGATTTCAATTATGTAGCTCTAAGTAGACAAAATAACATCAATTGTCAGTTCAAGGTCAGTGAGTACGGCGCAGGATGAAATAACGATCTTACTTTTGGACGGATCGTGATTGGATCATGTGATGTGATGACGACCAAGGGGGGATGGATTTGTAGTTTGGGACATTGTGGGAAGTCCGGGAAACTTTTAGTTTCGAGATTCCACAGATGTGCCAGCTGCTACTCTAATGAAGGTACTTTTGAGATTATGCTTGTCTCGGAGTTACTGATTGGAAGGGAGGTTTGCTGGAACCCTGACACACTGATGATGTTACCTAGTTAAGGCAATGAAATGTCTGCAAGAAAACAAGCCAGCTCAGAGAGCCCTCATAAAGGAGGAAATTCCAGCCTCGATCCAGATGCTCACCTGTCCTCAGCAGCAACATCCTCCCATAGGACAGGATATTCTGGAGCCACTGAATGCATTCCTCCTCCAGGTAGGATTTCCATTTCTGATTAGGTCCTGCACTATCATCCCATTTCCTCTTGACGATCTCAGCCAGGGGCTGGTGAGCCACCCAGGTGAGGGTCTTCTTGTCGAAGGTGATAAAGGTCCTCCCGTCGTAGCCATACTGCAGAAACCCTTCTTTGCTTCCATCACCCCGGAGCTCACAGCCAAACATCCACTGCAGCGTGTGAAAGCCTTGAAGGAGGGATAGGCAGATGGTTTCGTGAGTCCTCAGGACAGACAGCCCCACCCGCAGGGACTTTTGAGGCAGTAGTGAAGCAATGACACCTTGTGTTAGGAATCTGTCCACTAATTAGTTGGGTTAGCAATATATAAACCGACAATGTATATTTGTAGCTTTAAGACAAAGTTACTGTATTGATTTGTACTATGTTCTGATTGGTTGATTGTATTGTGAATTGCCATAAGAGGGAGCTAGAGATCATGGCTTGCTCTGTCTGACATGCTGTCTCTCTGACATTCTGTTGCTATCTAAGCTGTGCTTATATTTGGATATCTTTGTTTACTGTAAATGACAAAGGCAACCGGTAAGAAGACTTTGTAATTGGATATTCTTTGGACTGTTAAACGTATATGACCTGGACCGTTGATTGGACTGTGCTATTTCTTAAAGTAAATTTTAACTCAATTTAGTGTATCTGTGTGTGGCTGGATAATTATTCATAACTATTCTCATAAACGTTTCCATGTGCATATCCTTGTTACTCAAGGGTTATTCTGTACATATCATAACACCCTGATATCCTCCCTTGCAATTCCCACCCCCACACTATTGTCCTCATTCCTCCCTCACTCGACGTGTACCTCCCCCCGCCTCTGTGCCCCACCCCGGCACCCCGGATTAAACCCCTGGACTTCATCAGGAACAGGCAGCCGAGAAATTCTCCTTTCATCTTCCCAGGATTAAGAATGGCAGCGGAGGATTCCAAGCGGGAGAAAAATGGAGTTGCAGAAGAAATGAACAGATGGAGCCTCCTTCATTTTTCACTCTATTTTTAACAAACCCATGCTGGCTACTAGTTATAACTTTTATTTGTTTCTAGATGTTCGCCGATCATCACCAGTATAGGGCAGAGGTGGGTATTCAGCAGGTTCTGATCGGTTCTGGAGAACCGACAGGAGAACTTTTGAGTAGTTTGGAGAACCAGCAAATGTCACCTCTGACTGGTCCCCCCTGCCCCCATCTCTTCTCTGCCTCCCACTGAGTCCCAGCTGATCGGCTCGGTCTTTATGGGTTGCCCTGCACAGGAGAACGGAGCTGAAAAGCAGGTTAGTGGGGTGGGAGGGAATGGGATTTTGCAGTAATCTTCTCCCAGGTGTGGGGAGGGAATGGGGATTTTACAAGAACCTTCCCCTGCCATGTCCACCAAGCCACACCCACAGAACCGGTAGTAAAAAAAATTGAATCCCACCACTGGTATAGGATCTCAAGCAGGAGGTTGGACTGGAAGACCTCCAAGGTCCCTTCGAGCTCGGTTCCGATTCTGATTCTATCAATATAGAACAATCCACCAATGGAACAGAAGTTGCCCTCGGAAGTTGTGGGAGCGCCATCACTTGAGACTTTCAAGAAGAGATTGGACTCCCATCTGTCAGAAATGGTGTAGGGCAGTGATGCGAACCTTTTTGTTGTGGTGTGCCAAAAGCGTGCGCATGCGCAATGCACCCCCCCCACGCATGTGCGTGTAACACCCCCCCATCCCCTTACCTGCACTGCGCATGCGTGCGCCTCCCAGCTGATTTTCGGCCCATTTGAGGGCGTTTTCGCCCTCCTGGAGGCTCGAGGGAAACCTCTGCAGCCCTGGGAGGCTGAAAAACGGGCCTTCCGGAAATACCGGAAGTGCCTAAACGGACCCATTTTTCGGCCTCCAAAGGCTGCAAAGGCTTCCCTCGAGCCTCAAGGAGGGTGAAAAAGGCCTCAAACGGGCCAAAAATAAGCTGGGAGGCACACGCGTGCGCAGTGCAGGTACGTTTGGCTGGGGCTCGCATGCCCGCACAAATGGCTCTGCGTGCCACCTGTGGCACGCCTGCCATAGGTTCGCCATCACGGGTATAGGGTCTAGGTTGGACTAGATGACCTATAAGGTCCCTTTCAACTCTGATTATCTGTTATCTGTAATATATACAGACATACAGATGAATAACTTTAAAAATGATTTTAGGAACTGCAATGCAGAAAACCTATCTTATGGGGAAAGGAATAATCTTATATCAATTTTTTTAAAAAAGAATATATATATTGAATATATTGAATATACACACACACACTGGTATATTGAGAAGACTTTAAAAAGTGTAGAAGCATTTTGTGAGAGGGAAGATGGGGCCGGAGGAGCCACCTGATCCATCACTCACCTTTGCTCTGATTGTAGCCACTACCCAGAAACTCCAGTTTTGCTCTGTTCAGGTCCTCACTATCACGGACTCTCTGGGTTGCATTGCTCCAAAGCTGGGGATTCTCCTCCTTTGCCTTCTTCACCCAGGGGACTCGAGCCTGCATTTCCTGGCTGTTGCTCTCATAGTGAAGAAAGACCTGGTCGTCTATGTACCCCAGGTAAAAGAAGTGGGGTTGCCCCTGACTGGGGTCCGAGGTGCAGGTGGAGAAATGCTTCAATGAATGCAAAGAGCCTGGAAGAAACCCGAAGGACAGAGTTAAAGACAGGGGCGGAATTCTACCAGTTCGCACCTATTTACTAGAACTGGTTGTTAACATTCTAAGCAGTTCGGAGAACCGGTTGTTAGAAGAAATTACTGGCCTAATCCTGTAAGGAAGGCAGGGAGGAAGCATTCTGGTGTTGCTTACAGAAACTGCCTCTCTGTTAACCCTTATTACGTTCTTGGCAGGACTAGACTTCCTTTCTCAGGAACGTCTCTGGAGTTTTTTTTCTCCTCCTTTGCTGGTACTTTGCTTGTGTGGAGTGACCATTCAAAGTTACAGTGGCACTGAAAAAAGTGACTTATGGCCATTTTTCACACTTACGACTGTTGCAGCATCCCCACAGTCATGAGAGGCCAGGCAAGGAGATGCATGCCTCGATGTGAGTGATATTGAGTTGGCCACACCCAGACAATAACATGTCCACCAAGCCGGTTGTTAACATTCTACCGGTGGGTGGGTGGGTGGGTGGGTGGGTAGATAGATAGATAGATAGATAGATAGATAGATAGATAGATAGATAGATAGATAGATAGATGGATAGAAGATAGATAGATAGATGATAGATAGATGATAGATAGATAGATAGATAGATAGATAGATAGATAGATAGATAGATAGATAGACAGACAGACAGACAGACAGACAGACAGACAGACAGACAGATTCCCTGGATGGATTCGCAACAGCAGAAAATGGGGCTGAATCCTTCCCATCAGAAGTCCTCAAACTTGGCAACTTAAAGACTTGTGGACTTCAACTCCCAGAATTCCTCAGCCAGCATAGCATAGTATTAGCTGGCTGGGGAATTCTGGGAGTTGAAGTCCACAAGCCTTAAAGTTGCCAAGTTTGGCGACTTCTGCTTCACATCCTTGAAAGGGGACTCACCGAAGCCGCTCTCCGGGAAGCCTACCGCCAGCCGCACCAGAAGCAAGAGGGGCGCCAAGCGCAGAGCCATCCTATCCGCCGTCCTCCACCTGCGCTCCGCTCCGCTCTCCTTGAAGCCCTAAGGCAAAGAAAGTCACGCTTGTTGGTGATAAGCAGCGCAGAGATCCGGGCGATTGGCCCGTGGGTGGGACGGAGGGAAGCGTTCTTCCGTCGTCAGTGTTTTGTTGGCGGACGTCCGAGCAAAATCGGGAAGCGAAGGTTTTATCTGAGTCAGGCATTCGAGAAAATCTCGTCCTAGGAACTCCTCGTCTTGGGGGAGGGGCAGAAGAGCGGGACTCAAAAAGAGGGGGAGAGTAAACTGGGCGTAGGCCGGTGGGTGGGGGGGTCCCTTTCAGATCCCGGACAGCCTCTCGCAGTCGAGAATCACCTTTCCAGAAAATAAAACGTAGGGAAGAAAACCAACGCTACTAAAGCAATCAAGAGCAACAGTAGCTTACATCCATTGGGTTTTCGGAAGAGATGTGGGTAACAGTGGGCTTGAAATCTGTTTCTAATAGTAATTATTAGCCAGGAGGAAATACTCGTGTAAATTTGGAAGTCCTCTTCTCCCTAGAATGCAGTGGAATGGAATGGAATGGAATGGAATGGAATAGAATAGAATAGAATAGAATAGAATAGAATAGAATAGGAATAGGGTGGAATGGAATGGAATAGAATAGGATAGGATAGGATAGGATGGGATGGGATGGGATGGAATGGAATGGAATGGAATAGGAATGGAATAGGAATAGGAATAGGGGTGGAATAGGAATAGGAATAGGAATGGAATAGGAATAGGGTGGAATGGAATGGAATGGAATAGAATAGGAATGGAATAGGAATAGGGGTGAAATAGGAATAGGAATGGAATAGGAATAGGGTGGAATGGAATGGAATGGAATAGGATAGGATAGGATAGGATGGAATGGAATGGAATAGAATGGAATAGGAATGGGATAGGAATAGGATGGAATGGAATGGAATGGAATAGGATAGGATAGGGTAGCATAGGATAGGATAGGATAGGATGGGATGGGATGGGATGGGATGGGATGGGATGGAATGGAATAGGAAAGGAATGGAATAGGCATAGGGTGGAATGGAATAGAATAGAATAGAATGGAATGGAATGGAATGGAATAGGAATGGAATAGGAATAGGGTGGAATGGAATGGAAT